CTGGTGTACATTTGTATCTCTCTGAGATTGTTTTGTGTCTTTTTAGTGTTGTTACCTGTCCCTGGTGTATATTCGTGTGTCTGATGTTGTTTTGTGTGTGTGTGTGTGTGTGTTTTTAATTGTGTGTCCAGTGTACATTTGTGTGTCAGTGGCTGTTTTGTGTCTTTCTGATGTTCTTTTGTGTGTTTTTAGTGCTGTTTTGTGTCTCTAGTGTACGTTTGTGTCTCTGGTGTATATTTGTGTCTCTGGGGCTTTTTGTTGTGCCTCTTTATATTTTGTGTGTGTGTTTGTGGTCATCTTTTTCTATACTGGTCATCATCCAGTCAGAGTTAAGCCAATTTAATGACAAGTGGCTTCTTGTAAAATCTATTCTTCTAGTGAAACTGATGAGTCGTTGTTTATTCGCGGGTTCACCTTTTGCATTGTGTTCACAGTGTCGTGCTATAACAGGCTAAATGTCTGCTGTTATTTAAAGGGATTTGAATCACTGCTGTTATTGCAGTATTTTAGGAAATGTCCAAACTTGTTACTATAGTAAAGGTGATAGAGAGACATGGGGATGAAGAATGGCTTCAGAGACAAGCTAAAGTGCAATAGCTCATTAATGATAGCTGCAATCATTAAATATATTAAAATCTTGTTTATTTTGATTAGGAAAGAGTCACATGACTTTTAGGGGGCATAAAACAAAGAGGAGGGAGTCAGTGACACGACCAGACTGAGTCTTTGGGTTAAAACAGGCGTTTTTCTCACACGCTCTCTGCCAGAAACTGTTGACCACAGCTGTGAAATGTCTGAGTGTGTTGGCGTAGAACTACACCCACACATAAAACACACATTTCTGTCACTTTAGAGGATCTTACATTCGCTGCTACTCGTCTCAACTAAGAATTTCGGCACATTTCTGTTCATCCCCACAGCATTACAGTGACACAGGTTCATACACAGACACATACACACAAGGAATGAACAATGATTTCTTATCTGAGTTGTCTGCTGATTTCTGTCAGTTTTCCAGAGAACTCCCCCTCCCCTCTCGGTATGTGTGTGAATCAGCCCGTACACAAAGGCCTCTCTGCTTTTCACAAAAGAATGAAGGCTGCTTTTTGTTTTTGCTTCGTTTTATATGTAAAATAGATGTAACACGAATACAAAATGAAACAAAACGTTTACAGTGCTATGATAAAGTATTTTCCTCCTTCCTTAATTATTATTTTATTTGCATATTTGTTTTGAATCTCAGTGAAATATAATCCAGTGACTTTATTTTCTAAGACTCCAGAGAATCCAGTGAGAGCCGTTATCCACAAATGGAGAAAACTTCCCAGGAGTGGTTGGCCTACCAGAATTACTCTATTGATGACTCATCCAGGCCTCTCTTGTCTCAGTCATGGTCAGTGTTCATGGCTCAACAATAAGAAAAGTGACAAAACAAAAATGGCATCCATGGGTGAGTTCTTAGCCAAAACCACTGCTGACCACAAAAGTTCCACAAAGGGTCATCTAACTTTTCCCCAAACTCGCCAAGAGTTTAAGAAAATATTATGTGGACTGACGAGACAAAAGTGGAACTTTTTGGAAGGTTCAAGTCCCGTTACATCTGGCGTAAAAAGTAACAGCATTTCATAAAAACAACATCATACCAACAGTCAAACAAGGTAGTGGTAGTGTGATGGTCTGAGGCTGTTTTACTGCTGCAGGATCTGGATGATTTGTCATAACTGATGAAACCATAAACTGCTCTTTACCAGAAGATCCTGAAGGATTATTTTTGCGCTGTCAAGCTCAAGCACACTCGTGTTATAAGGCCACCTCTGAATGATTCAGAAAACAAAATTCAAAAAGTCTGGACCCCCCACCGAATACGACTGAACTAAAACAAGGTTTTTAAAAACCTTTAGGGTAATTTTAATTGGTTTCTCCTTGAGGTGATTTTGTATCTGTTTGTGATCATATTGCGTCTCATTTTTTTAAAATCTCTTTGTTATTATTTTGTGTCTTTTTAGTTGTTCTGCATCTTTTTCAGGCTGTTTTTAGTCTAATGAGGTTGTTTTCCATAGATTGGATTTGTGTCATGTCACTGCTTTGTGTTTTTATCGTGTATAGTTAACTTCTCTCTGTGAATAAATGATTAACTTTCCATCAGTGAATTACTAATTACTTTCACTTGGGGATCTGAATTAGGCACCCATGATCCCTGCAGCAACATGGAACATGAAGGGGCTTTTTGGTGCTCCATGCCTGGTTTCTTTGATTTGAAAATTCTCTACAAATAACACACTGGATGAATCTAATCGGGATCACAACACTTGATTATAATCCTAATGGAAGAAAAAAGAAGTCTAAGATGAACTACTGTTACTAAAAAACTAGCTAGTCAAAAATAGGAGAGCGTTCAACTCCACGAGATAACTGTCACGGCTGGGGCAGCAGTCGTGTTGTGGAATGAAAGGAGGACCCAAAATGCAGGCAGCCAACTGATGATATGAGTGAGAGTTTATTTACAGGTGACAGTGGCAGGAACAGACAACGAATCATGAGACATACTAACGGAAACCTAAACTGGGAAAACTAAAGAGCAACTAGAAATCCTCAGGACACGGGGTGAAAGGCAGAGAGACACAGATGAACGCAGACGAGCCGACAACGAACACAGACCGACACCCACTAAATATACACAACACAAGGTAATCGGGTAATCACACACAGGAGGGAAGAACAGCTGATCCGAATACACATGATGGCTGTATCACAATTCAGGGTCTGCAGCCTTAAAGTACGCAGCCTCAACGATCCTCAAGGGCCGCGTACTTAAAGACCGCTAAGGCCGGAAGTGCGAGGCTTGTGAAATGGGACGGTCTAGCCTCCGTTGCGCTGCCCAGGTTGCCTAGCAACCATGATACTAACAGCCGGAAACGTTTCATACAGCTTTGTTTGACAGACATGAAGGAGAAAATCTTTTGTTCATTTGTTTGTTTGTTTCTACATGAGCTTTGATCATTCTCTGATTAAGCTCAGCTATTGAACGGCGTATATTTTAAAGTAAAGGCTTTAAAACCAAGTTAGTACAAACATCACTAATGTCACATAACGTTGCCGACATGTGGCCAACAGTAATGTTTTAATGTTCTTCGTTATTCCGCTCCGCCATTTTTTTCGGCAAAATTATGC